AGAAGCAACTATCTTTCTGTAGCACATCAAATTGGAGCATTAGTATTCCTGCAGTACTTTCAAAGAGCAATTTCTGATAGTTGTGATAGAAATTCGAATCCTCTGCTTCTTTCTAGAAAACTACAAGGAGATAGTCATGCGGCAGGGGCAGACTGCTTTCCATCTTCTGCCTTGTAATTCTCTTTTCCAGTTGCACCCATTTTCATTATACCACAATAGATAATACTAGGGTAATGTCAGTTTGACTCTTTCAGGAGGAGGAGGTTGTCATGATATTGCACTCTTAGGCCAAATCTAAGAGTAACCTGGATATTGATGATTATTAGGTTTCAGGAGTGCAATAACATTGCTAATAAGTTCTCTTGCCATTTGGCTGTTTCCACTATTGCTTCGAAAGGAAATTAAAACCTAATTTCTCATAGCCATACATGACATTACTAGAATTTGTCACAAAGAGGAAAAAGAGGATTTATCATGCAGATGTAACTGATAATCAGTTGTAATCTTCTGCAGTGAACAGAACTATTACGAGTCAGTTTATTGATGAGCATTTATAATAAAAATATCTTTTGGGGTAGAGCCTCGAGATACCAGTTTTATAAGACTTACAGTTTTTGAGTAGGCAAGTTTAAAGAGGAATCTTGGGCCAGATGACTTCAGTAATGAAATAGAAAACCAAACTCTAAAAACTTCTATTGATCAAAGACACACATTTGCTTTTTTCCCTATTAAGAAACTAAGAATGCCCTTTAAAATAGGTAAGAAATAATGTGTTTCACATAAACATTTCTGATTTCAATGAAATAACTATAATTTTAAAAGCCTAAATGAGAGATTTGAATTTATTATATAGGAAAATCCTTGAAGTATTGATTGGTTTGTGCATCGTAGCACTGTCCTGAAGCTTTTCCTTCCCTCTGCAGTTTTTGGCAGCAAAGCTGTGTTTTCTGTCAAAGAATCACTTTCCCATTTACATTGTATATTTTCCATTTAAGTTCCTCATGGCTTAACTTCAGCCACAGAGGAGAATAGGCTCTGTTCCTACCTGGTTTCTGTTCTGTTTTTCTTTTCGCCTTGTTCCAGCTTTTTCACTGAGCCACTCTTTGTGCCAGTACAGTGCTTGTCCTAGCTTAAGAAGCAATACTTTTACTTCCAGGAGTGTCACAAGCACATCCTAATCCAGTGTGATCTGATCCATGCTTGCTAAAAGACAGTGGAGTCTCTTTTTCCAGCACCTGTATGGACACCTCCAACAAGTCCAGACAATTTCTTTTCTTAATGGAAGAAAAACTGCCAAAATCCATTTTCAGCAATTGCCTTAGACTTAAATCTTCACTGCAATATCTTTAAACAGCTGTAGGTAAAAAGTGGGAATGAGATTTGGTGTAGACTTCCTGAAACGTAACCCAAATAGGGCCAGAAATTTGGGGTATTGTTGCAGGATGCCTCACAAGCCAGGCTGAAATTCCTTTGTCTGTATATGCTGCAGTTAGACCTTCCATGCACATTGCAAATACAAATACTGTTGGGAAGTAGAACCTTGATTTCCTGGTATTGGAATTATGTTGCTTCCAGAAAAACTAGTAAATCACTCCTGGCTGCACTAATGAAGTAAGATACTTGAGTTGAAAGTTTCAGACATTGATTGTGACTGTGTGGTTACAAGAATTAACAATGTGGCTTTCCATGGTTTTCTTTCCCATGGAAAGAATTCCAGTACCTAACAAGTAATTCATTGTCCAGTTCTTAATTTTTCCAAATGATGGAAAAAATTATCCCTCAAAATGCTTTCAAGGGAACAGACAATTGACATACCTGCAGTTTAAGTGATCTATGTCAGCACACATTAGCAGATAAGTGAATTGAGTGTGGTCACATCCCAGAAGAGGTCCTGTTTAGGATTCCCATTGCTCTGCTAACAATTTTTCCCTGACTGGCACATCAGTACTTTTTTCCAGTCATTGAAGAGTGAATGCAAAGAGACAATGATAATGCAAAATTCCCCAGACTTACAGTTCTGCTTCCCTTCTCAAGGGGATTTGTCAAGGGCATAGATATTTCTAAGCAAAGGTTCTTTTGATATTTTTCTTTAAGAGAATACCTGAAATAACCAGTAACAGCTGAGTTTTCAGAAGAGCAGATGCGTGTCCTCATTCACATCTGAACTTCACTGAAGCTCTAAGGTGAACTTGTTTTAGGCAAGTGAACTTTCCAACAAACAAAGCACCCCTAATCCCACTTCTCAATAAACCGGTTTGTATTTAAGAATTTTAAAGTAACCAGTTCCATTACTTCTTACCAATAGAAATGGTTTGGAGGGTACTTACTTTATAGAAAGGCTTAGTTAAATTTCAAATATATGTTTAAATGTCACAGAAGTGACCTTCCTTTTGAAATAAAATTGAGTTTTGTATTGGAAATGCTAGAACTGTCTTAATGAACAGTCAAAAATGCCATAATGTCTTTGGAAGTAATATCCCTTCTAAGCGTAGTTTGCTTATTGACACGCTTATATAAGTTTATATAGATATATGCATATAGATTTTGCATATAAAAGTGTATTTTGAAATGTGAATGTTTTTCAAGTGGGTATCTCTTCATTTGCCTTATTTGAAAAGCTTCCATCTATGTTCGTTCCAATGAGTGGTCTGCCTTTTGCTCTACTTGCCTCGTTTGCCTATTCGTAACAGCCCATTTGAGTCAAGAAATTTTACTTGAGAAAGACAAGTGAAATCATATTGTGGATTTGTTAACCTCTGTTTTATACACAGTGAGGATCCAGTAATCTGCATCATGCTGTCTAAATGAACAGGCATCATAGGAGTTTTCTAAGCTATTTTCAGTCATGTTTCAGAAACAGATACATTTAGAAACACTGATTGCAAAAATAACAAGAGGTAACTGCAGTGGCTGTAATTTGAAAAAAATAAGTATGTATATCAGAAGAGTTGAGAGAGAGAGAGATGTAAAGTTAGTTTTGCAGTTTGGTCAGTAGAACTAAATGGGGAAAGTACAGAAAACAAATAAAATTAAATATTTAAATCCACCAAAAATGTCATTTAATGTATTTCATCTCCCATTTTGGGGGAAGGAGCATCCTGTGAGGAATCCAGGAAACAAAGATTGATACACAGTGGTCACAGACTTAATATAGTGGAATGATTTTTGTAGCTCAAAATGTGTTTCAAGAAGTGGAGTAATGACGGAGGTGCATGATAAAGCTTGAATAGGAGTTGAAAATGGCCATGGGAGATGCATAGTTCCCTGTGTAAAGACTAGTAATGCTATTTGTATGTACACATAATGTACAGTCGTGCTGAAAACCTGCTTGTCACACTATGTAGGAATGCATTAAATGAGCAAAGCTTTTCTGACCTCTGTCAGATTTTCCTGATACCGAGCATTCCTTAAAAGAAATGCTGGTACTGAGTACATATTATACCTTTGAGCAAAATTGATTCCGCTAACTGTATGTAAAGACAGTCAATACCACAGAACATAGTGCTTTTCAGCTTTTTGTCTTCAGCTGAATCTTAAAAATAGTCAGATCTACTTTTTCTATAGCTGAATTACTTCTTTTGTACAGTTTCCTGCTTTTCCTTAAAGTGAAATCAAGCAAGAGGAACAGAGGGTTGAAAAACTAGCTTGAGCAATGAAGCAGCACAGCTTTTCACAAATAGCTTCTTGCTGTTCTTGCATGCATTACAACCATACAGTTTTATACATAGTATTTCCTCAAAACTTAGAAAATATGGAAAAACTTGGAAAGCATGTGGCTTAGCTCACTTTCCAAAAGAGATACTATTCCAGTAATGTTTTAGCTTGTGAAGTCTGCCCTTTTTCAGGATATGGGTAAACAGTACTTGGGTGGCATCTCACTTCTTGCGTTTACATACATAATTCACATAGACAGTTTTGTAACAAGAAAATCACACCAACTGGTACATCTGTCAGGTGGTGTCAGTGAAGAGAAGTTGCAATCACTGCAGTGAACACAGGTTCTTTGTCCTACAATGGCAAACAACCTGTAGTTTTTACAACTGCAGT